CTCTTGTCATGGCCCCCCATCCCCTCTTCCCCAAACTCGAGGCGGCCGTCCTCGTGGACGGTCGCCCCGTCAAAGAACATGCTGACCGGGAAGATGCTAATTCCGAGTCAAAGGTAGTCTACATCGAGGCCGAAGCGGGCGAGCAGTTTGGCGTCCGATTCTTCATCCCCGGCTACGTCTTCGACCGCCACTCCATCAAGGTCATTGTCAACATCGACGGTGTTGACATGCGCAAGTTCATCTTCGAGCGGCACAAGTACGACCTCTACGGCATCACAAGACAGGTCAACGACAGCAGCGCGCTCATCGGTCACAAGTACCTCGGCCAGCGCTTCCGCTTCGCTGATCTCAACACCCGTAAGTCTAGCAAGCGAGCATTGGTGCCATGCCGCTGACAGATCTAGACGATGACAACTACGAGATCGACCACGCGCTTTGGAAGCAGCTGAAATGGACTGGCAACATCTCAATCACCTTTCACCGGGTCACTAACGTACGCTTCGCCCGCGCGTGGAAGGACGTGCCGTCCATGCGAGAGTACGACGAGGTCCCCGAGAAGGCACTGAAAGGCTCGTCTGTCTCGCACAAGACGACGTATGTATAGCGCAACCTCATCTCTGTGAAGCACTAACAGTTTTGGAAGCCTCGACCCGCTGCACCGCATTGCACCCGTTACATTCATGGAGGCAGACTATGTCGACAGCCCTGCCCGCCCTCTTGCTGAGATCGAGTTCCGGTACCGGTCCAAGGAAGCTCTCAAGTACCTGTCCATAATCCCCCGCACACCTAGCCCAGAGCCCTTCAAGGAAGATCTGTCGGAGGAGAAGGTGCAGAAGATCTACGTAAGTGTTCTTCATGACATCTTATTGAGACGCAAGCTTACAGAATACCGCAGCTCAAGCACGAGGAGACCCAGACTCGTAAGCGCAACCACCCCGATGACGAAGTCGACTACGAAGACGTGGAGATGGTAGAGGAGCGACCCGCGAAGCGACGTTGCTTCCCCACCAGCACCGACGAAGTCATCTCGCTCGACTGAGGACACTTCAAAGATACGTTGTGGCATCGCACAGCAGGCAGCGCGCATGGCATGCTGAACACGGAGCTTTTACTGGATACGAAGTTTTCACTGGAACAGTACCGTGAACTACAAGCAGGCTCATCTACCGCACGGGTTCATGTTCACTAGCATAGCATCGGATACTGAGAGTCTCATCTTGAATTGATTCTCCATTCTACCATTGTCGGCATTCTCCTTGGTGTTCTTCTATGCTCCCATTCTATTGTTCCATCCCTCTACAGTCTCAATGACTCTTCTCTAACAGCCAGAGCTCAAGGCGCCGCAGCAGCCCCAGCCTCCACATCTACATACGACACCAGCGTCTCCCTAACATTCGTCAACCGCTCTAGCACATGACCCACTCTAATCACATCCTCGTCCTTCGTCGCCCGCCCAAAGATATACGCCGAAAATGGTATCCCAGGTGCCACATTAACCAACCCATTCCTAGCGTCCTTCTCCACAGGCGTATCTCGCGGGAAAACACCCATAGGTACGCTCATGACCGGACTGCCCGCTTTCGCAGCAAAGCTCTGCATGGTCACACTCAACGTAGGCACGAGCATGACATCGCAACACTTCCTACATAACGCGGCGTCAATACCGCCTTCGCCCGTATAGTACTCGTCTCTCGCCAGCATGTTCTCGTAGAGCAGATTATTCGGATCAGAAGCCTGCGCCCTCTCCAGACCCTCGACATTCCGCTGCGGGTACTGTTCCGACGGGTGTCCTTTTGTGAACTTGATTAGGTCTTCGAGGTTACGCACGTTTTGCGGGTTTGTGATGAGGGATGAGAGGTAGTCGTTTATCGCAACTTTCAGATCGGTAGTCAAAACGATGTCTTTGGCTTCTTGTGGAAGGGCTTCCCAGCCCTTTGCGCCGGTGACGGTGACGTTGCGGACAATGGTTGCGCCGGCGCTTTCTAACAGTTTGAGCGTTCTTTCGAATGCTGTCTTCTTACAGGCAGGCAGATTTTGCACGTCGCTGAGCGAGCTAGGGATGCCGATTCGGATGCCATGGAGGTGGGGAATTGAATCTGCGGTGCTGAGGTCTTGCACTATCTTCTGTTTCGTTTGGGTGGGGAAGTGATCGCTATGTTGGACCAGACCGATGAGGCAGAGCGCAGCATCTGAAACTGTTCGCGTGAGCACACCCACCGTATCCAGTCTCTTAGACGCATGAATGAGGCCTTCGGAGGAGAGCAGATTACGCGTCGGCTTAAACCCCACAATACCAGATTTCTCAGCCGGAGACACAATCGAGTAGCAAGTCTCCGTCCCCAACGCAGCAAAGCACATCCCCAGCGCAACAGCCACCGCACAACCCCCCGAACTCCCACTCGCTTTCATACCAGGATAATATATACCCGTTGTCTGACCTCCTCTTCCACTCCAGCCTGAACACCCGCTCGTTGAACGGAATCCAGCCCACTCGGCCATGTTTCCTTTGCCCAGGATTACCATTCCTGCTTTTCGCACTGCGCTTACGACGTCGGCTTCGCGTGACGGTTTGGCGCCGACTAATGCCATGCTGCCGCATGCTGTTGATGTAGCGTCGAGAGTGGGTATGTTGTCTTTTAGCAGAATGGGTATGCCGTGGAGGGGGCCTCGCTGGCCCTTACTGAGTCGCTCGGCATCGAGGTGTTGGGCGAGGGATGTAGCGTCGGGGTTTATCTCTGCTACGGCGTGGAATGTGGGGTTTGTTTCGCGGATTCTAGTTACACAGGCTGATGTTAGGTCAACGGCTGTGAAGAGGCGGTTTCGATAGCCGTTCTGGATTGTGGGGAGCGTGAGGTGGTCTAGACGTGGGGTGTTGAATTGTGAGTTGGTGGGTGTGCTGGCAGACCCGCTGGCCGGTATGTCAATGTATGGGGTTGCCATCTATGCGGTTGTTCTAGACCTGCTATTGTATAAAATCTATTAGTATCGCTGACGTGGTGGGAACTTTATGTGTTCAGAGCATTCGCTGTGCACTCTACTGCTTTCTTACTGGGCCTTGGAGGGCGGTCGTGACCTCTTTGTCGGATATATACTGTGTAATGCTACAGCGTTATTGAATTTGGCTGGACATTGACACCCATCATTCACGACTAATGCGGATGCTCTGATTGAAATGAAGACGCCTACATTGATATCTAGACCCGTGAATTTAGCATAGATTGCAGCTTGATCTCGTGAAAACTTCCTAAATGACTGCTATGTCGGCCTCCGCGCGCTTCATTCGCCTGTCTCAGTCCAACACAATGACTTCGGTTTCATCGCTTGGCATCTGTCTGACACGTTCGAGCTTCCTCTTCTTGCGCAGATCAACCGAACGTATCTCGATGAAGTCGTCGTCGCAAGCTGTAACTCGACTATCGACGTTGTGGTCGTCGCCTGCCACAGTGGAGGTGTCTGAAAGCTCGCGCTTCATGCGTACACGGGACTCTTCTTGATCCTAGTAGGTGTCAATGAGGTTCTTGATATGCTGTGAGAAGTGTCGTACCCTGAAGCGGCGGACGATAGACTCTAGTTGTTCCCTGTTCAACTGCCCGAGCACCATATCATCGCTGTCGAGAACGTCGACTGGATCAGGCGTACGTTCGATTATGTGAAGGTCTTTGAGTGCAGCTGCGATGGGATTAATTAGTCTCTGCTCGATAGATTCAAATGTTGGGAAGCTTACCAAGAGAGCGATAGTAGAAGTGGAATGTCGCGAACGGTTCTCCGCCATCAGCGTAATCTGCATCGTAGTACTGAATCTCTTCCGTGGGCTCTGTCTCTCCAAGACTGCGATCACGTTAGCTCATCGCAACATGCAAGTTGAGTCATACGTACACTGCCTGATGCGACAGCGACTCGCCCTTGATAGCCTTCTCGTTGACCGTATCCAGCTTCTCCAACTCCTTCTGTACAAAGACCATCTTCGGATTACGTCTTGCATTGTCAAGGAAGTAGAACTCGCAGGTAATGATACCTATAGGCTGTAGTTTGCTCTGTAGGTCTTCTGGGATGCGTCCCTCGCTGTACTCTCCTGCATCTCTCTCAGCATGTGCTTATTCTGTAGGGATGAAGATGACTTACTGATATCAAGCGGCGAAAAGCGATAGTGTTGCGTGAACCAGTCCTTACCATCGTTCGATATTGGTCCAGAGCTTAAGTGACCATCCGCGTTATACAACTCGTCGGGGCGAATAAGCGGCTCGTCAACATCCTTGCCGTCGATGGTGACGATCATAGATACAGGACGGTCGACGGGGAACGGCGCTTTGAAAGAATAGTGGATCTCGAATGTTGAGTCTGACTTCGCTTCAATGTAGCTTTCGGAAGTAGCTTCCGATACGGTGGTATGGCGGTCAATGTACTCGCGAAGCGGGTTGCCATCAGCTTGGACCTGAACTTCGAGACCGGGAGCCTCATCGATGACTGCCATTGGGGAAGGTGCGATTGTCGTGCAATATGAGAGGTAAGCGATGAGGGTAAGAGGAAGCCGCGATAGGTCTACGACGCGTAGAGTATGCTGAAGATATGTTCTGAGCAGAAGCTTCGCCTCCACTGGAGATGTCGGTGCTGTAGTGTGGAAGCCGAGGTGAAGGCGAGTAATGGCAGGTGAGAGACGATGGCCCCACGAGCTCTTGGCTTCGACGCGTCGCGAAGTTCTCGCGCTCCGGTACGAGAGGTGAACGTGGCTGTCGCGTTGGTGGCTCCTTCCCTTCAAGTAATCTCAGATTTGGCGCAGATTTTAGCGCCCCAGACAAACGAAGGAGGTAAAATGAAAAAGCAGAATGTTAAAATACACCTAAATAGAGGGATACGAAATGGAAAATAGTCCGATAATGCTACCAGCATTGGCACCAACGATGACGATCAAGTGATCGTGCCCCGGTGTTTACGCCAGAAGCACCCGAGTTACCTCCATCTTGCTTAACGTACTAGTCCTTCAATCTGAATGACGGGTACATTCAATCGTCAAGGACCACGACCTCATCATCAGGACCCGGAGCGCGACGTATCCTCTTCACGATCGGATGTGCCGGCTGGCTACCGATCCACTCGACCTCATCACCAACTAGAGTATCTTCACTGCCTTCTCTCTCTTCCTCGCGTTCGCGCTTGACAGTGATTACTTTCTGTTCCTTCTCCTGTTTGGTGGTTAGTGAAAGACACATAAATCGCATGCGTTTAAAATATGATGCGACGTACGCGCATGCATCTAACCACCGCCCTCAATTCCTCCGCGGTCATGTCATCTGGGTCCCTGTCTTCGGCCTCTGACTCTGGCTCCGGAGACGGGCTTGGGGTACGCGGAATGATGCCGATGGCCTTGAGCGCATCTGGGTTCTTGTTAGCTATCAATACAACTGAGCTATGTACACGTGCGACCGACCCGTCGATCTGTAGTAGAACGTAAACGTCGCGAAAGGCTCATTCTCGGTCGTCTTGACTTCATTGTAAGTGATGGTATCACGTTGCTCGGGTGCAGTAAGACTGGCGGCCATGTCAGCGATCATTGTTTTCCAACATGAGTTGAAATGACACACCTGGTATGATGCGATAGCTGATCTCCCTGCATCGCAGCCGCCTTGTGCAATGCCTTCTCGCTGAGAACATCAAACTCGTTGCTAGCAAGCTGAGGCACTTCTGCGGGCCTCACTGCTTCCAGGTGCTCGATGAAGTAGAAGTAAAGCACAATGCGGCCAATTGGTGACAGTCGATCCGCGAGCTCCTTGGTCATGGGAATGTTGGTCTCATCTAAGCTTCGTCAGCGATCGTTATGGGAAAATCGAGATAAAAGAACTTACCGGTCCTCAACTCAGCGAATTGGAAGCCCTGGGTGAAGCTGTGTCCGCCAGTCGACGAAGTGGATCGTGAGCAAAGGTATCCCTCGCACTCTTCTTTGCCACCCCACTCGATGTATGGGGCTTGCACGTAGTTACCGTCCAGCAACACGTCCATCTGTACTGCCGAGGGCGGAGTAAAGGGCTGACGAAATAGATAGCGGATGGAGAAGTTGGCAGCTGGTGGCGCCTCGATGTACATCGATGTAGAGGTCGCAATCTCTTCATCTTCAACGACTCCATGTTGGTACTCTGGCAGTGCTACCGCATCTACCTCGATAGTGACTTCAAGACCTGGGATGCCTGATGCGATAGCCATGGCGTTGGATTGAAGAAAGAAGAAAAGAGAGAGAGAGAAAGAGCGACAGAATGAATTGTGTTCCTGCTGAAAGAGTAGAGAAGCCGGCCACAACGATTGCTTTCGCTTGAGGCTCGTAGTTGCTCAGGTGAGAGAGAGAGGGCCCATTTTACAAGCCCACAAACAAAACGAGAAGGATGCTGAAATGAGAAAAATTGAACTAACTCTTGCTGATACTCACGGTGACTACGACGAGATTACAAAACAGTATACTGCGTTGTAGTGAATCTGGTAAACCTTCCGTAGCCATCAGAATGGCGCCACAAACACCTGGAAACCCTTCGACACATAAACATAGGAGCCAAAGTCTGCCACGAGCATGGTATAGGCACCAATCTATCTCTATGTCAGATCGATAATCTCGGCACCATTCTCATCGAGAGTAACGGGGAGCCGTCTGCGCTTGGCGGATAAGAAAGTTACGTCGTCATCATCGTTATCCTCGTTGATGATGGTGCTGCTTCGTTCCCGTTTGACACCCTCTCGCTTGATGACTGGAGCGGCGTCCATCTGCTCACGCTGGAGACGAAGGAGCTCGCGAGATTCTTCCAAGGTAAGGGTGTTGATGTCGCGTTCTTCGAGCGGTACCGGACTAGGAGTACGTGGGATGACGAGGAGGGATTTGAGAGCAGCTAAATGGCATCGACATTGGTAGGAATACGGCGATCACGGAAAGCTCACACACCTCTCGAGCGATACCTGAAAGTGAACTCTGCAAACGGCGTTTCGTCGATCTTCGTGGTTTCAATCGTGCTGTACGCCTGCATGACTTCTCGCGCGCCGTAGCTAATCCCAGTATAAGTATTTGTGAGTATTGGGAAAGACGCTCGCTGACCTAGCCTGATGGGATAGCGCACTGCCTTTGAGGGCTTTCTCTGGCACAACACCCAGATTCTTGTCCTTCCGTACCGTGACCGGGGTTTTGTATGTTGCGCCAGCTGTCACCCAATAGAAGCGCACAGATATAACACCCACCCTATGGAGCTTCTTCTTCAGTGAGTCCTTGAATGTGCGTGTATCACCGTCGTCTGAAGTAAAAGTTAGCAACTAGCTGACTCAAGAAACAGAGAGACGAAACCATTAATTTCGAGCTGCGAGAAGCAGAATTTCCTTAGATAGTATTCGCCATCTTCGAATTCGCGCGATCCCTTGAAGGTATGCACATGATTCCAGCGAATTGAACTGCCAGGGTTGAAGACACCACCAGCCGCATATTCACCGTCGATGCTCAGTCTCAAGAGGATGCTATGGTGAGCACTGAATCCAGAGAAGAAGCAGTATTTGATCTCGAAGTTGTCACCAGACGAGGCTTCGATGTACTTGGTGACTTCGTCATCCAAAGTTTGATCATCGTCGTCGACATACTCTTGGAGCGGAGCGCCCTTGACGTGTACCTCGACTTTGAGATTAGGATGCGCTTTGGTGATCGCCATCTTGAAGACAGCGGCGGGGTGGAGCCGGAAACCAACAAAAAGGGCGGTTGGTGTTAAGAGGAAAAGAGATGTTCGGCGGCGTCTATGGCCGCGAGAGACCTGCAGTGGTGAAGGTGAGGATGAGACGTGACAGGCGCAGCGCGCTGAAAGTGGAGGTGCGGCCTCAGGTCCGGGGTCGTGATTACCGCCGTGGATTCGCGCCGCAGCGCTAGCGCGCGTTGCCACGTGAAAGTGCCAAACAATGCGTTCAAGTGGAAAGAGCATCCCTATATCGCAGTGAGCAACGTCGAAGCACTGCGAAAATCATATTGAAGTCAGTCGGTATATACACAAAAAAAGTCTATTCATCTCCATACTCCAGTCCAGTCCAGCTTTCCACCAACCTATATACCATCCATCCATTCCCATCCGCTCTCTCAGTACCGAGCATGGTATCATTCCTCCCTTCCCCCAAGTAACAAAGTAAAGAAAAGAGTGCAATCCGTCGCCGCACAGTAACCCCTAAACCGGGTACATGACTTGTAATAATGACAAAACATTACGCCCCCAAAACAGGCGAGGACAGGAATGCACAAAAGATCAGAGGTTCGGGGTCTTCTTTGTGGTGGATGTCGCAACCGGTACGCCAGTGCAATGATGGAACGGCCCTGCCATATGCTGTTGTACGTGAATAAAGACTGAAAGGAAACGCTATGCAGTCGTTATCATGGGAATATGCCTCCATGCAATGGTATCATTCGCGGGTATGGATTAGGCCGTAATTGTTGGGAGATCGCCATGGTAGTAATGCTGTGATGAATGGGGACTGTAGTGAGGCGAAATGGTGATGACGGTCGATGGTCAAAGGGCGTTGCTGTCGATCTACCAAGCGCCTATGCTTGCGGGAGAGCCAGTTCCGTAGTTTCCGCTCAGCAGCTGCTGGCGGATGGACATGGCATCGTTGGATCCGCCGGCGGCGGGATTGGGTGTCTCTGCGCCCATCCAGCCGAGTCCTCCGCGTAGCTCATTGACCGCCTCCTGCATCTTTCCGCCCGAAATCTCATTGTGTTTCGCAATCTTCTCGTCCCATCCGCCGTATTGGAGCTGTATTCCGCCCGCCTTCTTTGCTGCCTCCTGGATGACCATCGCCCACGCCTTGGCCATCTCCTCGTATGCCTCTTGCTTGTGACGGTTGTGTTGGTACGTATCCCAGTTGGGTAGTCGATGGATGATCTCGGTGGCACCATCGAGGAAGGCGAGCGATGTGGCGGGCTGGTATTCGTGCGGCGGGAGGAAGTGAGGTGTGAAGTCTTTGAGGGAGTCGAGCAGTTCATCAAGTTGTTGCCGCACCCTATTGTATGCATAGTCTGATGACGCACGGCCGCCAAAGGGGAAGGCTGCCTGGAACGCCGCCTCGTACTTTGACAGGACCTCCAACGTTGACTGTATGCTTGGCCGGGGCGCGGTTGTGACGACTTCGTTGCCGATGTCCGGGTGGCGCTGGCAGATGGACTGCAGCAGGTTGCGCATCTCGTCGGGGCTGAGCGTCTCGAGGAGGCGAGGGAGCGGGAGCGGGCGGCCGGAGATGTTGGTTCGCATGCGCTTCATGCCTCGCGGCGCTGGTCGTGGGAGTACGGCGGAAGATGTGGTTGGCGATGCACTCATGCGGTCGTCGTCACCGGCGCTGCCATCGTCCTCGGCTTTCCGCTTGCGGCCAGTCATCGCGGCGGAAGGGGGGAAGACTGCGTGAGGGCGAAAGTTAGTGGCTGACATGGAGTTGAGGTGTTGAGAGCAGCGGGTAGACGTACGGTTGCGGGAGGGAGAGCGGCGGTTGTTGTTCAAGAGATGAGGGGGCGTGAATGTCTGCTGGTACTGCACACTCATGACGAGGAAAGGGCCCGCAAACGCAGTGATTTCGCACGCCTGCTTTGTTGGGAGCCGGATAGCGATGTCTGGGTGGTGATGCAATGGGCGGGCTCTCGTTGCGTGGGCCGTGGGCGGTGTCGGGTGTTGTGTTGTTGCTGTGGTGGAGACAGCAGAGCCATACGAAGGCCCAAGAATATGCTAACAACCGGCAAGTCCGTGCACGCAACCAATCACGTCACATGTCACACATGTCAACCACAGTATTTGTCCTTTCATCTGGGGTTGAGGTTGAATTCTCTCGCCAGTTTTGCTTTGTCCTAAAAGTCGCCCCTTCATTGCACTAACTTCGGGAGGTCCCTTGTGAAAAAAGAAACCTCAGCGGCTAAAGCGGCACTAGCCCTAAACAATCCCATGGTATCTCCCTATAACTCCGTATGCGATATAAATACAAGCCACCTCAAGCAGAGCCTTCACCTACTACTCGCAGAGCTTGATGAACTCGGTGTACGAGTCTGCACGGGCTCGATGGCTAGGCTATCGCTCCGCGGGGCCAGGCCTTCAGGCCAACTGCGCCTCTCGCGGTGTTCAACCGAAGGTAATCTCTCATCCTCTTTATTTACACTCAGCCTCTTCTTGACTTTACTCCACCTTCTGAGCTTTTCGCTCATTGACCCTCGCCGCCTCCCCTCGGCTTCTGATTCTCTCCTGGTCTTTTCGTCGCGTACGGGATCAGATAACTGCCGAGACGCGGCAAGTGAATTGAGGTATATGGGATACAATGCGCCCGCAGCGTAAGCCGCTGCAATGACGCAGAAAGCGTACTGTGCGTTTTTGATCTTAAGCGCGGCATACATTATCGGTGGGATAACGGCCCCTCCACCGATAGCTGCCGTCAGAAGTACGGAAGCGTCTTTGGTGTGCTTGCCCATACCCCGTATCCCTTGTGCAAAAATCTGCGGGAAAAGCGGGCCTTCAAAGAACATGACGATGACAATGATGGCTGCACCACCACTGCCAGAAGCATGCATTGCTGCGGCAGCGGTTGCAATTGCGCCTAGGTAGAAAACCAGAAGACTAAAGCGTGGCTTTACCCAAATGTCGATGAAGGCTGCCAGGAACCGAGACACCGCGAAAGCAGTGTGTCCATAGGCTTGCTGTGACACATAATCCACGGAGGGCGCGACGCGGTTGAGGTACTCCTTGTACGAAGTGGAGGTGGATTCTTGGCCGCCAACGTAACAGAATTGAGATAAGACCGCCATACTCAGACCAATCCAAAGAACTTTGACTGGCTTGGACCCAATCTTGATGGTGGCCTCGCGGGCAAATGGCACAGTGCGTTGACTGGCTAGTTCTAGCTCTTCGTCGGTAGCTTCAGGAAGCGGTACGTAGAAGTATATGATTGCAAGAGCGATGTTGAAGAGAGATATGCCGAGATATGTCCACTGCACATCAATGAGGCTGGCAGCGTTGGCGGGGAAGAGTACTTTCTTCGCCAAAAGTGGGGAAACAATGGTGCCGACAGCCTGAACAGCCTGTGAGAGATTCAATCGCACTTCCGCATACTCAGGCGGTCCGCATAGTGCTATGAATGGGTTTGCGCCGAGTTCCAATGTCGATAGTCCCGCACCGGTAATGAAGTTTGAGATCAGGAACGCTGGGAAGGAATTGAGCACAGCTGAA